CATGTTCTAGCATGTATCAATAATTCATTCCTTTTCATAGCTCAGTAATTCGTTCCTTTTTATTGCAGAATAATACTCTATTGTATTGTACAATAATTTATTCACCTGTTCACCAGTTGATGGATATTTGGGTTGTTTCCTCTTATAGGTCATTATCAATAATGTTGCTAGGAACACAATTCATGTATAAGTTTTGTGTGAATGTGTGTTTCCATTTCTCTTGGAAATGAACCTAAGGATGAAATTGTTGCCTCCTATTGTAACTATGCTAAACATTCTGAGAAATCGCCAAACTGTTTCCAACATTAGCACTGTTTTACATTCTCACCAACAACTTTTGAGGGTTCCAGTTTCTCCACATCCTCACTGTTAGAGTTTGACTATTTGTGTTTCCTCCAAAATTCATGTCGAAACTTAATTCCCAATGCAACAATATTAGAAGGTGGGGATCTCCGGAGGTGATTAGGTCATGAGGGCTCCACCCTCGAATTGGATTAGTGCCTTATAAAAAAGGCGTTCACCGCTTTTGCCCTTCTGCTTTTGGTTCTGTGAGAATGCTGCTGGGAGATGTATCGATGGCTCTCTCTGGGCACCGGATCTGGTGGTGTCTTGATCTTGGACTCCAGGACTGTGTGAAATAAGTTTCTGTTCTTTACATATTATCCAGTCTTGGGTATTTTATTGTAGCAGCATAAAAGCATAAATGGAGTAGGACGCTCACCAATATTTCTTGTTGTCTTTTGAATTACAGCCTTCCTAGTGAGTGTGAAGTTGTGCCTTGCATTGTGGTTTTGATTTGCCTTTCTCTGATGGCTAATGATGTTGAGAATCTTTTTGTATGCTTATGGGTCAGTTGTTTAACTTCTTTGGAGAAATGTCTATTCAACATTTTTGCCCTTTATTTTAATTGTGTTATTTATCTTATTGGGTTGTAAGAATTTCTTGTGTATTCTGAATATAAGTCCCTTACCAGATATATATTATAATCTGCAAAACTTTTCTCCCATTCTGTGGGTTGTCTTTTTACTTTTGATGGTATTATTTGCACACATATTTTTAAGTTTGATAAAGTCTGACTCGTCTGTTTTTTCTTTTATTGCTTTTGCTAAGAAAAGGTTTTAAAAGAGCTCCATATTTTAGTTTGGTTTTGAAAAAAATGAATACTTGTGCAAAATAAAAGAAATAACAAATAACAGAACAGAAAGAAAAGAGTCTCTTTTGGCTGGGCACGGTGGCTCATACCTGTAATCCCAGCACTTTGGGAGTCAAGGCAGGCAGATCACTTGAGGTCAGGAGTTTGAGACCAGCCTGGTCAACATGGTAAAACCCCGTCTCTACCAAAAATACAAAAATTAGCCAGGCATAGTGACAGGTGCCTGTAATCCTAGCTACTTGGGGAACTGAGGGAGGAGAATTGCTTGAATCCAGGAGGGGCAGGTTGCAGTGAGCCGAAATGGCGCCACTGCACTCCAGCCTGGATGACAGAACAAGACTCCAAAAAAATGAAAGCCTCTTTCCAACCCCTGACTTCTAGTCCCTCACTCTCCTCTCAATACACATTTGTATCTAATTTTTAAACATGCACATGCACACATACAGATGAAGCATCCTATGTATATGGCTCAAACTGTTCTTTCTCTTGTTTTTTATTCACGTAACAATGTATCTTTGAAATATTTAGCTCTATATTCATACCTTTACACTTATTGTTCTAGAAAATGGCAGTATTGTGTTCAGTTGGATGTGGGTAGCAACATTTATTTAACCACTCCATTATGATGGACATTTTGGTTGTTTTTTCCTTTTGCTGCTGCTGATAATACTGAACCGAATAGACTTTTAGATTGGTTTTCACACTAATGTGCCAAGGATTGGATGAATTTCTATAGCTGAATTTGTGGAGTCAAGGAGAGAGAGAGTACCCATTTAGACTCTACATGCATCAATAGTTATTATTGAATTTTTGATCTTTGCTAGGATGAAAGATTAAAAGCTTGTATTTTATTATAATTTTATTTATTTACTTTATTATGAGTTGAATATCTTTTCATATTTCTCCTATGAATGTTTTTTGCATGTTCTCCCCTTCCTCTTTTTCTATAGAATTTTTGCTTTTCTTATTAATTTGTTCATTATGTATGAAGATTATATATTAAAGAGATTAGAGATTAGTTCTACATCTTGCAACTATTTTTTTGTTTTCTTTTAAATAACCATATTAATTATACATGTGCACATGATTTTATTTTTTCTCTGCTAAATTTTATTTTTGATGTAATCATTTTTTTATTTTTTTCTTTAATGAGTCTAGGCTTTATGTCTTACTTAGAAAGGCCTACATACTTTAAGTTGCTACCAAAGTCCACATGATTTTCTAGTATTCTTTATTATAATTGAATTTTAGACGTCAACATTTCTCACATCTCTGGGATATACTTTAAAATTAGAAGGCCACAGAAGGTACTACATTTCACAATCCACTCCACATCAAATAGTTATTGCAATGAGATATTCCAGTATTATTTTTAAAAATGTTCTTATTGTATCTTAAATTTCCTTATCCACTTTGGTCCATTTCTGGATACTCTCTTTTCTTCCATCACCCTTTCTGTCTCTCCTTAGAGAAAGCAGCATGCTATTTTAATCATTATAGCTTTACAATAGGTTTTAATATCTGGCACAGCCAGTTTCCTTAATTATTCTTCTTTTTTAGAATTGTCAGGATCATTCTTATATGTTTATTTATCTACCTAAGAGCAAAATTTGTATATGTTGCAAATTTTAAATTACCTTTATGTACATATATTTTTTGTTCCAGTTACAAATAGATTTTTTATCATGTTTTGTTAATTGGCTGAAGCCATTGATTTATGTATATTAATTTTTTATGTTAATTTACTTTAAAATGATTTCTAATCTTTTTAAATTTCTTTTTTGGATATTCTAGTCAGACATTTGTATCATCTACCAGTAATGGTTACTTGCTTCTTCTTTATCAGTTGTTTATGTATCTAAGTTCTTACTCTTATCTAATTTGTTTTGGCTAATGCCTATAGAGCAATGTTAGTTAATAGTAGTTACAGGCCAGGTGCAGTGGCTCATACCTGTCATCCCAGGACTTTGGGAGACTGAGCTGGGAGAGCTTGAAGTCAGGAGATTGAGACCAGCCTGGGCAATATAGTGACACTGTCTCTACCAAAAAAATAAGAAAATTATCTGGAAATGGTGGCAGGTGCCTGTGGTCTCAGCTACTTGGGAGGCTGAGGCAGGAGGATCACTGGGGCCCAGAAGTTCAAGGCTGCAGTGAGCCACTGTAGACCAGCCTGGTCAACAGAGTGAGACACTATCTCTAAAAAAAAAAAAAAAAACCAGTAGTGATAATTTTCATTTGTCCCTGCTTTACAAGGATTGTTTTTTGTTTTACCCGATTATGTGTGATATTTCTTTCTGGCTCAAGATAAAACTATTTTCTATTAGACTAGGCTACATTATGCTATACTAGGCTATCCCTGACATTTATGGGAGCTGGGACAGGAGTCCAGCTGGAGGCCAGCAAAGAAAATTTGTAAATATTTTAAAGTTGTTAAGCTAAAACACTGTTAAGTGACAACTGTTTATCATTAAAAATATCCTCTATCAAGCTCTGAAACCCAGATTCAAGTGTAGATTTCAGCGCTTTTTAGGTCCTGTGCTGGAACGTAGCATTGTGAAGAATTCAGGCCATTTTAGCCTGCTTTCTTTCTCATATCATGCATAGCTCTGACCCAAATTCAGGGGTCTAATGCTCAGCTCATGTGCTAGGATGCCACAGCCAAACTTTTAAGTTCTGTTTTCACCCACTTGTAAACAGCTACGCTTTGGTCATTGCCAGCACCTGGGGCGTGCACATTTGGGGGGTGTATTGTCTTCCTACTGGAAGATGAACCTAGGGAATAGAATGTACTGCCCCAGAATTTGGCCTTAGGGACATTTGTGTACAGAATTCTGTGATACTGTGTACCCTGAGGGTGGTCCAGCAGTGGGGGTGGGCTCTGCAGCATGGGGCTCAGAGCCCAGGATATGAGCACACAGCAGATATTAATCACTTTAAGGAAGTGATCTAACCCTCTTATTCTTATTAGGAGACTTCATCATTAATGGTTTCCAAATGTTTTCAAATGTGTTCCAGAATTGATGATATGATTGTATAATTTTTTCTTTTGTTCCATTAAAATGATTTATTATATTGATAGATTTCTTAATATTGAACCATCCTTGCATTACTGGCATAAATCTCATTTGGCTTTGGTGCATTTTTATTAAGACTTTCTAAAGCCACGTTTCAAAGGAATTTAATTGAAATCTAACAAAGCTACCTCAAAATATAAAACAACAAAACTATAATATATGTGAGACGGTGATTTCAGTCAATTAAGAAATACGCCATGGAGAATATTGTTTGATCTTGTGGTATTTGCAATGAGAGAGGATGCAAGCATTAGGAGGTGAAGCCATTAAAGGTTTTCATCTCTTGCTTACAAGGGCTCTGGGAATAAGCACCTTTTCCTTGTAAAAAGCCACTTGTAAAAAGCCAATTACTTTTGGATGAAGGGGCTATATATTACTTGCTAATGAGACATCTACTTGGTCACAGTTACATTTTGAAAAAGAGAACAAACTGCCTCCAATCTTACCCTGTATTATATTCTCAGTCTTACTAGGAACCCCCCAAAATTTTAAAAATCAGTTCTGGTCTAGTAACTTGTGACTTACCATAGAGTCTTGGTGGCTCCATTTATTCATAAGAAAAATATAATCGGCCTCAAGTCAGTCTAAAAATTTAATTACCACTTCATTTAACCTTTTCATTTACATGGTTGTTGCTGTTCTTGTCTTCAGTGATGTCCCAAACTATTAGTTTATTCAACAT